TTTGATGTCTGATAACTGGTCCCTTCTACACCTCATGGTCAGACAGGCTGGTGTGCTTCTTCCATGTGGGCTTTGATGCTTCTCAGCTAGATGGCCGCTTTTTTATCTTCAAGATTTTAGGACCCATGATGCTATATGTTTTGATAGCTGGGCACCATCAGCTTTCTTCACTACATTTGTTTATGCACACGTTTGTCTTCAGTGATTGTATCAGGAAGGTGGGCACCCACTTATATGAATTTTAGTTATTTGATGTCTGATAACTGGTCCCTTCTACACCTCGTGGTCAGACAGGCTGGTGTGCTTTTTCCATGTGGGCGTTGATGCTTCTTGAAGACTAAGGTGTGCCCAACCAAGGTGGGTTTGGTGTTGTTGGAAATAGGGTCGCTTTGAGTCAGAAGCAACTCAATGTCACCCAACAACGACACATAAATACTTCCTCCCCAGGTTTCCTTCACTTGATACTCAATCCATAGACTGGAAGAAAAACCTTTCTCAGATCATGAAATCCTTTTTATTGGAAACACTCTAGATTCTAAAATACTGAAGATTTCGAGGCTGTGCTAATACCTAACATCTCAAGTCTCTAACATGGACTTGATGTTGACACATAGCAACCCTGTAGAACAGGTAGTACTGCCCCTGTGAGATTTCTGGACTGTAACTCTTTATAGACATATAAGCCTCCGTATGTCTCCTGAGGAGCAGATGGTGGTTTCAAACGGCTGACATTGCCATCACAACGGAGTAACCACTATACCACCAATATCCCTTGTCTCTAACATACTGTTGAACAAAAGAGAAACCCCTTCCCATCTGTATGTCTAGCTGCCCTGCCCCCGAGCTAGAGGAGGCCAGCAGCCTGCCTTCCACACATGCACAGCACTGCCTACTAAACAGGAGCCTGCTCTCTAACATGGTCACATGAGGGGCTAGGAAAGACTCACAACAGCCTATGTCTGAGAAAAATCCCACCCAGTGACAGGGGGTGGGCAGATGGGCTGGGTAGAAGCCTTGTGCCCATCCTCAAGAGCACCTGGGCTGTGCCTATTTCCCAGTGAGGGGAGGGGCCAGCTGCTCTCACAGACCCAAATGGACAGACACACCACCTCTGGGGAAGGTTAGGAGAAAGCTCTAGGACACATTCAGAGCTCACCCTGGGGCCTGTAAGCTGGCTGGGAGCTCCTAGGTAAATAATGTTCCCCAGTCACAGGCCCTCCCTCTGCTACCTCCTCTCTTTTTCCACAGAGTCCTTGACCAAGCCCTCCATCAAGGCCAGCAACACCACAATCACAGAAAATATGGGCCCAGTGGTCTTCACCTGCCTCACCAAACACAGTGGAATCTCCATCTCTTGGTTCCATGATGGTGAAAGACTGCGGCTCACAGAGAGGATGAAGCTGTCCCAGGACAACAGCTCCCTCACCATAAACCCTGTCAGGATGGAGGATGCTGGGAACTATCAGTGTGAGGTCTCCAACCC